ACTTAGGATGGACACTCTCATTGCATTCTCAAAAGGCGCTCAGGTTTTGCATGTCTCTTGTGGGTGCGACTTGCGCCCCCCTCCAGACGAAAAGATGGCCTCTTCTTGTATTCCTCCTGCTTGCATTACCTTTTACCTTAGATAACTCTCCTTTGAGTGCTGAAATTAGAAGCCAAGCTGGAAAAAGAGGGAAGAGGGGTGGGAAGAAACTGGATTTGGCTCAGATCTGTGAGCGCAGGGTGCAGGTTTGTGTACCGAGTTTCCTGAAGGAGCCCCTTCTGTGTCCCCACTGTGGGAGCCCTGCGTGTCCCGGGAGGAGGAGAGGAGGAGGACGTGGGTCCCCTCGCCTCCCTTCACGCACGCACGACGAGGACCTGTGCTGTCAGAGTGCTGCGTGCATGATTAGAGCGAAGCGAGTGCCGTTTGGAGACGGTCTATTTTGGGCAGTCGTCAAGGGGAGGGCTGTATTCCTCCCACACGCACGTGTCAAGTGCTATTTGGAGCCGCAGGCATAGCAACCTCTTTCTCCTCACTTTCTGGGGTGCATTAGAGCAGAGCTTTAATGCACCGAACCCCAAATCTGGGGGAAGGCCAGGAGTCGATCTTCCCATCTGGCCCTTGGCTGAAAAATCCTGCTGGTGAAAAGGAGCTGGCTTGGGAGGGATCAGCCCACCGGGCCTTCTGCGTCTGTGTCCTTGGCTGCGCAGAGCCACGGGGAGGCTAGAAGGCGGGCCAGGAGAGAAGTAGCTAGTCCTCATGGTTTGGCCTCCGCTTCCAGAAGGCAGAGAGAAGCCGGGCCTCCGAATATGGAGATCAAAGTCAGTTTGGTCTTTGGAAGCCGACTAACCACCCTCTGACTGCTTCCCCGTCAAAGATCTTTGCCCTACTTAACTCTAGGCTTGCACCTCCAGAGGTCGAGGGAGTCCAAACTCCCTGAACTTGAGGAGGAGGAAGCTCCATAACTGCTGAGCCAGACGATGAGTCCACCTGGATCAGCTTGGATCAGCGCTGGGTTTCCCAATGTGCAGTCCCTTATCAAGATCTCTGCCCCCGCCCTCCACGCCCCAATCCCTGCTTATCTGGAGATCGAAACAACATAGCTGACAAAACAGGAAAACCATGATAGGGTTTCCCTGCAGTTTCTTTTTCCCCGTGAGGTCAGTCAGTCGCCAGTTCTGAGTAGAGAAGCAGAGCAGAAAACATGGAACGGTGCTGCTTCCTTTTCTTCCCAGGTCAGGGTTCCCGGTTCCCCCCCAGGTGGGCTGGATATGCGGCCCCCTCCCCACCCCGTTCCTCTCGCCCTTCCTTCTGCTTTCCCTCTTGCACCTGCAGGGCTTGTGCTCCCCCAGAAGTAAAGACAACAGGAAGAGTGCATTATATTTATTTTATTTACATAATTTATTAGCCTCCCATCTCACTTTATACTCCCCTTCTTTCTTTTTTCCTTCCCCTGGTTGATCCTTTCAAAATTAGCAGCAGGCAGAAGTTCATCGGGTGAAGCCTACCCCGGGCTTTGCATGGCCTCCCTTTGCTTGCCCTCATTCGCCAGGCCAGTAATGCCACAAACCCTTGGCGCTCCCATCGCTGGGGCATGGGCCTCCTTCGCTCCTTAGGGGTGCAAAGCCGAGGGAGCTCTGCCTTGCCCGGTGCAGTTTCCCCCCGGCCTCTCCTGCCCCACTTCTCTTCTCCCCGGGCCCAAGGAGAGGCTGAGCAAGGCCACAGCATCCTCTGTCCCAGCGCCAGCTGGACCCCTTCCGAGTACTCGTGCCAGGAATTTATGTCCCAGGCCCTAATAAACCGCCAAGATCCTGCGGAGTTCCTGCTGGCAATTCTGACTCGCCAGCCTTGCTCACCCGACTGGGTGGATGGCACAAGCCCTCCTGCGGAAAGCAAGACTTTGGCCTCTGCCAGTTCGTTGCCCAAGGGGCCAGTCCTGTGTGTGGCAAAGGCCAAAGGAGTTCATGCAAATCTCTGAGCACCGGTGTGGATTTCTCTCCGCCTGTTGCAGGCTGTTGTATAGTTTGCTTGTTTTTTCAAAACCTGGAGAGGGGAGGGGGGCTTTGCTCTTTTTCGGCAATCGGCTGGAGCAGTTCCCTGGTCATTCATTGACATTATTTCTGTATTTAAAAAAAACAAAAAAAACACAGGACTCCCAACTTTAAAGCCGCAAAGCTACGGGACTAAGCGTGAAGGAGGCCTGGGATAAAAACAGGAATGTTAGAAAGAGGGGTGCGGGGGCTCTCAGGGGCCTGGATGTCCCCAGGCAGCTGGGGTGGTCATCTTTTGGAGGAGGGGAAGGGGAAAATGGGGTTTCATTTGTAGGGTTTGCAATTTGAACCCTCCAGCCCCAGGAAGTTATACAAGCAGCATTTTATCACACCAGATATCTGGGGGCGGGGGGGACATCTCCAGGGCTTGTCTTGTGCTGGAAACAGCGTGCTTCTCCTGGCGTTTTCCTCCGCTGATCCCAGGAGGGTGGGAGCACAACCCCCTTCGCCTCCCTTTCTCCCTGTCTCCTTTAGCGGGATCCCAGTGGCCAATTTCCCCCCGAGTTTTGCACCGCTGCCTGAAGGCTGCCTTTTCACAGACCGCGTCTTCTTCTTCTTTCTCCACAGAATTCGAAAACGGTACAGGGTCTGACTGGTCTCCGAAACCTCGGTAACACCGTAAGTCATCTCTCTTCCTTCCCTGCCTCCGGCCTACCGCTTGGCCCCATCTTTCTTGCCCCCTTTAAATCTGTTTCACTGTAGAGGTTAAGGTGCTCTTCTAGGACGGGGGGGCCAGGTTCGAGTCTACGCATGGGTAACTTGGGGCCAATCGCACTCTACGGCAGAAGGCTGTGGTTGGGGGGAGCGAAATAAAGGTTCCCATCCCCGTGCAAGCCCCCCCGTGCTCTTGTGCAAGCCGGCATGTAGATGTAACAAACTAGGAATTGTAGTTCTGTGGGAAAGGAGAAGGGTTGAAGAATTCACCTGGATAATGTTCTCAGCGACCTGGTTTATGCCGAGAATTACTTGGCTGGGGAGGATAGGTACTGGAATCCAACTCTCAGGTTGCCAACGGTTGGGGTATGTAGGGTCCCGCACATGGGACTCCTATTGTGGCTTAACTGCGCCCTTCCCCCCCCCGCCAGCAGTGGGCAGCTAGCAAGCTGCCAATGGTCCCATCCAGGTTTTGCTAATCTGGGACTCTCAGAACCAGTCAGGGAAAGCTCTGGGCATCCTGGCAGATTTCGGACAGTCTGGGCCCCCCCACCTCCCCTTAATCCAAGTCTCACGATGTCCTGTAGAAAACCCTTGTCAGATCTCAGGCAGGGCCGCTGGTATCTCACAATATCTCAGCGCTCTTGTGAGTTTGCCGTGATTTGGGAGTGGGCAGGAGGGCCCTTTGGGGTTTGACACTTGCATCGAATTGCTGACCCCACGTTTAAAGGACAAGATTCCTTCAGGGGCTTGGTTCAAAGGCACAAGCCTGGGTTATGCAGGATGGCTTCCTGGGATATGTGACCGTGGGCCACAACATCCTCTTGCCAGGAGTCTCTGAGCTTGGTTGCTTGCTTGCAGACGTTTCATTACCCAATTAGGTAACATCATCAGTGCGAGGGAGGGTGGGGTTTGCTCCCTGTTTATATACATAGCTTGCCCTGCCCGTGTTGGTGGCGGTGTGGTTTTCTTCTTGGAGAAACCAAGGTTTCCAAGGTTTCTCCTTGGAGAAACCAAAGAGAAAACCCCACCAAGGAACAGGAGTCTTTGCCATCTAATCCTCAGGCACTGCGGGGGGGGGGGGGGG